AGGGGAGGGGGGATAGTAGAGGATAGGAAAGGTAGCAGAATACAACAGTTACTAATATGGCATTATGTAAAAATGTGGATGTGTAACCGATGTGACTTTGCAATCTGTATTTGGGGTAAAAATGGGAATTCATAACCCACTTGAATCTAATGTATAAAATATGATATGTCAAGAGCTTTGTAATGTTTTGAACAACCAATAATAATTAAAAAAAGATTAGTCCTAAGGGTTAAGGGGGTAGCTCAGAGGTAAAGTGTTTGCCTAGCCTGTGCAAGGACCTGGGTTCCATCCTCAGCACTACAAGGGAGGAAAATTAGTCCTGTGCTTCCATAAGCATCTGCATCCTGGAGAAAAAGGTAAAAATTCATGTAGGTATAGCCATTCAAGTCTGACCTAATTTATTAAAACACATCCTTACAATTGGAGATAAAACATTTTATATGGTAAAACATAAACTTCAGAAAACAGTGTTATTACTACTGAGCTTAGCATATTTGAAAAGCAGGCAGTTTCATGCCTGTCTGTATAAAGAAAAAATTTTTTGCACTTTTTTTCCTTAAAATATGAATTTTTTTACTTCTCTCAAGTAAAAGAATACCTGAGTGACACTGCTCCACCCTGAGGCAACTTTTAAAACTGTTCTGAGAAACACAAGAGGTATGCCCACCATAGAAAGCACTGGTTCTAGAGTTACACAGATAAAGGTTCAAATCACTAACTAGCTAGGAGAACTGTTGAGACCTCAGTGAAAGATGGTGATGACAATAGGCTCAATGTGGGGCTTTCTATGAGGATTTAATGGTACAGTGAGGATAAGGGGTTTAGTGCAATGTAAGAGTTCATTGCATTCTGCCACTATTATTATGCATTTAAAATTATTTTAATAAGGCAAAGCTTACATTCTAAAAGAATGACTATTCATGAAATTATTTTAAAGTTAATACCTCATATTGTTTTAGAATCAAATGAAATCATGCATATCTGTTATAAAATTATAACTATATAACATTATAAAAATTATACAAATTAGGATTTGTTTTAAAGACAGCTTGATATAGTGGAAATAACCTGACATATAAAATCTGAAAACAGTTAAATCCTGATTTTTCTACTTTCTGGAATAGCACTGAAACTGCCTCAGTTTTATAATTTTCAAAAGTAAGATAATATCCTTTGAAAGACAGGATTACTGGGCTGAAAGAATAAAATCTATACAAGAATAGTTCATAAAATTAAAGCACTATGTGACACTACCAAAGATAAGTTTTCACATTACCTGCATGAAGTATCATTCATACTGATACCTATCAAAATTGACAGAAAAATCCTGAATTGAATAGCAAGGAAATATTAAGAGATTTATTTTTTAAAAATGGGAAGAATTAAACTAAAATTTCTAGTATGTATTTATATAAAATTCAAATACATATTTTCATCAAAATATTTCCCTAAAAACATCTATAGAATTTCAGATAGCCTCATATTTGTAGTTCTGAGTCCTTTTTTCTTTATAAATCAGAGGAACGTGTTCTTATAAATGTTAGGTCAAGAGGTCTTGCTTGCTCTAACATGTTGTAACAAAAAAATATTCCTGAGTTTGGGTCACTGGCATGGTTATTCAGCCCTTCCCTACAAATCTGCTCTTTCTCTGGCCTTGGAAGAATCTCTATATCATTCAGGTATAAAAGCTTTTCCCTCTCTAAATCTCTTCTCTATTTGGTCTTCAAGTCCTAGTGGATCTTCCTTTTCCATGACAGTATTTTCCTAACCTTACTGTCATTACCACAGTTTAGACTCTCCTTATTTTCTGCCTGTAATAACAGGATCACCTCCCAACTGATTTCCTTGCCTTCAGTTTTTCTACTCTTATAATACATCTTATTCATCACTGCTAAATTTAAAAATCCCCGAATTCTGTTTTTTCTGTGTCACTCCGTACTCAAAAACTTTCCCTAAAGTTTAAAATCCTCAGCCTGGAGTATATATAGAGACTGGAAACTGAATAACTAATCACCAGGAAATCTAGAAGTAGCCTTTCCTGCCACAGGAAGATTCATACCACCTCTGAAACCCCAACACAGTAAGAAGGTCTACATTAAATTCAGTGGGATTTATGTCCACTCAAAATGGAGATATAGGTCACAAAGGTAACAGGTTCAAATTAAAAGAGAGGCCAAGAATTCAGAAATTATTTTTTATTTAAAACACACAAGCAATTATTAGACAATAAAGGCCAAGCAATTTCTTAAAAATAGGAGAGAACCTACCTGGTAAAGGCAAGCTGCTGTTCCAAGAAAAAATGCAATGATATAATTAAAATCCTCACCATCACTCTGTAAAACACAAAATGAAAGATTACTTTTTTTCCTGGTGTAAACCTATTTCCAAAAATAATCCTCTAGAGCCAGGCACTGTGGCACATGCCTGTAATCCCAGCAACTCAGGAGGCTGAGGTAGGAGGATCTTAGTTTGAGGTCAGCTTCAGCATCATAGCGAGGCTCTCAGCAACTAAAAGAGACACTATCTCAAAATAAAAAGGACAGGATGTCCCTCAGTGGTAAAGCACCCCTGGATTCGATCCTCAGTGCTCCCAATGGAAAAAAAAAAAAAAAAGGAAAGGAAACAAAATGCTTTTTAAAAATTTTTTGTTTATTCACAGTCAAAAACATTACAAAGTGGTACATAAAAGTCTCAAGAGCCAAGTGCGGTGGCACAAACATGTAATCCCAGAAATTCCAGGGGCTGGTGGTGAGTTCAAGGCCAACCTCAGCAACTAGCAAGACCCTAAGCAACTTAGTGAGACCCTGCCTCAAAATTAAAAAAAAAAAATTAAAAGGGCTGGGGATGTGGCTCAGTGGCCGAGTATGCCTGGGTTCCACTCTGCCCCCCACCCCCTGCCAAAAAAAAAAAAGCCTCAAGAATTCTAAAATACAAAAGTAAGATATATCACAAGACCCAAGGAATGGGAAACCAAAGACTACAAATGTTCTCTGTCTCTTGGCCTCCCCGATCAATTTTATTTCACTCAAGAGAGGGTGAAAACCACTGGAGAAAAGTTCCCTCAGAAAGCAACAAGCCTCTCTCTGTTCTTCCTGTTAAGGATCTGCTTAAAATGCACAATACCCCAGCAGCTGACAAGTTATTTCTGCTCATGAGGGCCACTACTTGACACAAACAAAAACTGACAAACTTTACAACCTAGTAAGCATATCACTAAATTGTCCAATAAAATAATTTCACATGATTAAAAAAAATGTGAAAGCTGAAAAGCTACTGTCCACTAGAGTGTGCTAAATCCCAATGAGAAAAGTCAGGACTAGTCAGTCATGTGTGCTACGCTGGAAAATATCGAACCAGAGGAAAAACAGATCATGTGTGAAATATTTCTTGGAAAAGAAAATGAATGGAAACATGTAATCACCCAGGCTTTCATATTTATTTTGGACTTTCTTAAATATCTACATGCATTAATTTCTTTCAATATATTTACGAAGTAAAACATAAAAAGTCTAGCCAGGTATAGTTTGTTTTTCTTCCATACAGGAACATTAAATTTGGCCATTTTTTGTTTTAGAAAAAATATCTTTATACAATGAAAAATCCCACAAGACACAGGAGGGTCTCTCATGACCATGTCTTCATAAGACAGTATAAAAGAGAAAATTCCTTTTGAATTGGTTATTGGCCACACAACTGTCTGTAAGGCAGGGGGAGAGTGACTTATCCTAAGGAAAAGATCTTAAAATAAATACCATTAAAGTGCTGGGGCTGTAGCTCAGCGGCAGAGAGCTTGCCTTGCAAGTGTGAGGCACTAGGTTTGATCCTCAGCACCACATAAAAAATAAATAGATAGACAGATTTTTTTTAAAAAACGGAAACATTAATATCTCTTGGATGCTTAGGACAGTACTACTCCAGAGGCAAGGAAGGTCTACATGAAACCTTTCTACTTTAATAGTTCTAAGATTTTAAAAAAGTTCTGCTTAATATATTTTAGTCCTTTATTTTCTAAATGATCTTTTTCCTAATTATAAAAGTTCATGCTCATTGTAGAGAATGTGGAAAATATAGATTACCCAAAGAAGAATTCATACAGTCCATAAATATAGTTCTAGGAGAATTACTATTAAACCTTGCAGGTATTTCCTTCTGACCTTTTCTGTGTGTGAATGTGTGTAATGATACTTTCATACACTGCTTTTTAGTACTTCACATTATACCATAAACAAATTCCCAACAAATTAAATATTCCTCAAACACAGAATGTGAAATAATTGTATAACCTTTCACTGTAGGGAGAGACCATAATTTAATTAGTGTCCTATAACTGGATATTATTTTTCCTCTAAATTTACACTGTCATTTTAAAACTCTCTTGTCTTTGGAACACATAAACACATGTTTCTGGAGTCAGACCTGTGTTCAAATCTTTCTTTATAAGCTGCATTATTTTAGACCATTTACTTAACTTTAATTTTCTCTTTTGAGGAAATATTTCAAAAAACAAAGAAAAGCAGCTGGCATATAATAAGTACTTAAAAAGATTCCCTAACTTCTCTCCCTGGAGTTATTGTCTGCATAGCTTTTCTGATAATCACATTATTTTTCAGTATTATTTAGACCTCTTGTGTACTGACCTTATCTTCTCAATCAGACACTAATCTTTCTGAAGGCAGAAAATAAATCTGACTATTTGCATAAAACTGTGCACAAACAGTAGGAATTCAATAAATGTAGGCCAAATTGAATTGTTCTTTGAAAACACATTCTTTTTTATGAAAAAACACATTCTTCCCCTCAATAAATAAATACTCACTAAGCACTTATAAGCCAGGTACTGTGTTACTAGACCTAGGACAGAAAACAATAAAGACCATGTTGATTCAAGGTGCTCACACTCTTGATTAAGATGGCAGATCACAGGTTGGAGATGCAACTCATTGTTAGAGCACTTGTCTATCATGCATGAGGTCTTGGGTTTAATCCCCACCACCATGGGGGAAAAAAAAAAAAGCAGGGGTTAGATCATAAATCAACAGTTTCTTCTAACTAACCAATGTAATGCACGCACACATGAGGGGCTGGGAGAGTCGACTGGAGATGCATCTCATTCTGCCTGGAGAAGAAAAGAGTCAGGGAAACCTTTCCACAGGAAATAGAGCTTAACCTGGGTAATGTAAACTGAACAGGTAGACAAGGTAGGAAAAGAACTGTAGGCAAAAAGAACTGCACAGTCTTAAAAGAGGAGGGCGGGATGACTCCAGTGTTTCTTTTTAGGCAATAAATGAATGCTGTCATGCACTAAGTTGGGAATATAGAGAGAAAGTAATTTGGGAGCAGAAAATATTGAGCTCATTTTCAACATGTTATTTTGGAACTACAAGAGGGACATCCAAATAATAGCAATTAGCAGATATCTAAGTCTGCTTCAGGAAAAAGTTTGGAAATCTAGTTTGGTAGCCATCTACTTAAATAGTAGTTAAAGGAGAGGCCTATGACAACTAAGTACAAGTCTTAATTCTTAACTGGCTACTCAACTGGACAGAAAGAGAAAGAGAAAAAAAATAGTACAAAGGATATTTTGGCAGCAACTATGGAGAGATTTTCTACTAGTAAAACTGTACTGATCTTAAATTCCTTTATTGTCAAAAGGGTATGTAATTATGTAAGAAAATACCTTAGCTCTTAAGATCAACATACTGAATAATTTTGGAATAAACTATAATGATATCTACAATTTCACTTTTAAATAATTCAGAAGAAAAGAAAGGTAGGTATATACAATAGATGTTAACTGCATTGTTTTTCAAACTTTTATGTAAGTTTAAATTCTTTTAAAATAGGATGTTGTGCAGCATGGGGGAAAGGCAAATAAAAAGGGAAAAAATGCCACGTGGCCACTAAAAAGCACAAAATAGACATCTCTGTACTGAGATGAAAAGATCAGAACAGTACTAATACTAATACTACCACCATTTATACAACAAAAATTTAGAAGAATAAGTAAATATATAAATACATAAATATTAGCACATAATTTCTCTAGTGGTATAAACCAGTGGTTGACACTAAGGAAAAGAAATGGGAAGAGAATTATTTTTTATGAAAATTACATATCAACCTCTGTAGGCTTTCAAATTTGTCATGCATAGAGACTGAGGGTATAGCCCAGAGATAAAGAATATGTTTATTATGTACTGGTCCCTGAGTTCAATCGCCAGCACAAACAAAAAAATTACAGTATGTTTTATTGTTTTATAAGTATGTATGCATGTATGCATATACATTAACTTTTTAAAAAAACCATTGTCCAAAGAGAAGGTATAGTTAGAAGACTATCAAACCAACAACAGAATACTGGAGAGAGAGAGAAGAAAGCAACAAAGAAAGTCAGAGAGAGGGAGACTCTGTGTGTGTGTGTGTGTGTGTGTGTGTGTGTGTGTGTAAAGGAAAAAGTGGAAGAAGAAAGTTTATAGAACAAACAGGAAAAGGAAGAGAAAGAAAAAACAACAGTGAAGAAAATGGCTGCATGGAAATGAGGGATGAGAGCTTGTCAAGAAGAATGTAATACATGGAATTAATAAGACTGATTTGTTTTATTTGCTTCTGTTTTCTTTGTGGTACTGGGGATTGAACCCAGGGCCTAGCATATGGTAGGCAGTAGTTTAACACTGAACTACATCCCCAGCTACTTCTAGGTTTTCTAAAGTAAACATTTTTCTTTGAAATTAAATGCGTTGTTTTTAAAAGGAGAAACTAGATGATAAATGAGATAAGGCAGAGAAAACACACAAGGACCCTGAGATTAGATGCAGAGTGTGGCAATCAGGATACTGGTGAGCTTAATGGTTGGTGTCTGAGTATTATGGGGACAGAGAAGAGATCATGGTGGAATAAAAAAACAGAGGGTAAGGGAATGGGACAACACATGTAGTTTACTTTTTCAAAAAATTAGGAGAGAACATAATCAAAGTTTTTTTTGGTTTTGTTTTTATTTGTCAAAGAACAGCAGGGCTGCAGGAAAAGAGCCCATAGAGAAGAAACAAACAAAAAGCAGGTGAGGGCAGAGAGCAGGGGAAGGTGGTCGGGGCTTAGGTATGGGGACAGAGTGGGAATAGGCGGAAGGAATGGGGATTAGAGGCAGAGAAGAAGGCAGAAGGAGTTTGGCAGAGCCAGGGAAAGGGGGAATACAGGTAAGAAGTTTAAATAAAAATTTTAAAAACATCACTATTCATCTATGAGGATGCTAGGGTATCAATATTTTGTTTTGAAAACAAAAGGAAAGAATTTTTTTTTAAGTAAAGATTACACAATAGTCACAAAATACACTAAA